GTGGGGAGATATGTAGATGCTTGTGTGCCTATGAAAGCCAGAGATAACCTTACTTGTCCTTCAGGAGTCATCCACTGAGACCCATACCAGCACTAGAATTACAAGTGTGCAATATCTTATTTTTCTGTTTTTCCTTTTTTTTTTTTTTTTTTTTTTTTTTTTTTTTTTTTTGAGTCAGGGTCTCTCAATGTGTAGATCAGCAGAGCTACATGGAAAGAGCCTATCTCAAAAGAAAAAAGTAACTACATTTTTGGGTGTGCTAAATCTAATGATAGTGAAGAGTAACATTAATTATTAATGACTTATTCAGTTGTATACTGTGCTTTGGATTTTAAAAGTACACTTATTTACCAGGGCTGGCAATCTAGCTCAGGTCTTCCAGAGGACCCAGGTTCAATTACCAATACCTCCATGATGTCTGTAACTCCAGTTCCAGGGAATCTGATATTCTCTTCTGGCCTCTATGAGCACCAGGCACACAAGTGATAAGCACATAAAATTTAAAAGTAAATCAACATTGTTTTTCAAAACAGAGTTTTTCTGTGTAGCCCTAGCTTTCCTGAAATTCGTTCTGTAGACCAGGCTGGCCTTGAACTCATGGAGATGCACCTGCCTCTGCCTCTCAAGTGCTGGGATTAAAGGCGCACACCACCATGTCCAGCAAAATAAATAATTTTTTAATGTGCTTTAAAAATTACATTTGTTTGTGTGTAGAGGGGTGCATGTGTCATCTAGTGTGTGTGTAGAGATCAGACTATTCATTCACCAGCCCCATTGTGTTTTATATTTCATGTTTTTAATCCTTCCAATAAGCATGTAATAGCTGTCATCACACCTAGATTTTATTTTTTGTTTATGCTAAGACAGCATCTTATGAACTGGATCTGCCTTAAATTCCTGACTCTCCTACCTATACTTCCCAAGTACTAATATTAAAGGCATGCATTATCACACCCATCTTACATCCAGTTTATATATGAAACATTAAATATCTTTTATTATTATAAATTAATATATTGTTGTTCTCTTTTATAGATCATTCTCGAGAAGTCTTGGAGCAATTAGTAGGATCAAGAAAACTTAAACAAGTGACTTGGTCTGTTTATTGATCTTTACTGAGGCTGATCTCAAGAACCTGTCCAGGATATGCTCTATAAATAACTTGTTTTTCACTTAACACTAATTTATTATTTTGTCTTAGTTAAGCTGTAACTCCCAGAGAATCAGTTCAATCTTATTTTAAATGTTTGTGCTTTTAAGTTAACCAGCCTCAGCATTTTGGCACTTCTATTATCCCCTGTTGGTTTGATGAGCCATCTATTTATTTTAATGGTGATCCTGGTATGTGTGAACTGTACTTGATGGAGAGGAGGCTGGGTTTGTTTCTTTAATAACAAAAGTTCAAATGACTTATTTTCCCTCTATAGTCCTTTCTCTGGTGTAGGTATTTGAGCTGTTGTAAAAGACATTGTGGGTAGAATTCTAAATAAAGATGCTTTTAAAAGCGTAATTACTTTCTGAGTTGACTTCTGGCTTTTACCTACATGAAATGTTCATCCAAAAGCAATGTGGAACATATGGCCTGTTACCTCTTCACAGAAAGAGATATACTTGTTTCACTGAAATCAGTAGTAATAATTTGCCCATTAAAATGAGACATTCAGCTGCAAAAGTGGCTCAGTGGTATAGCACTTGCCTCACTTTAGTGATGCTAGGGTTGGATTCTCAACACCAAAAAAATTAAAATTTACAAAAAGAGGGGTGGGCAGCCATTCAACATATTCGAAGTACTGAGGCTTTTACTCACTCATTTCATTGATCCTTTCCCTGCTCAGTTCTAGGGCTTGATCTCAGGGCCTCATATATACCAGGCAGACATGCTACCACTGAGCTATATCCCAAGGCAATTTCATTGGGTTTTATGGCTGCTCTTTCCAAGTACATTTTGTTCATCTGTGAGCTTCTTCCTTGGCAAAACTGGATTCATAGTGTGTGGTGTTTTACTAGGTATTGAACATAGGGTTCCATGCATGCTAGGTAGGTGCTGTACCATTAGACTATCTCCAATTCCAGAAGTGTGTAAAAATTAAATATGAAATGCTATTATAGAGTTTGGTGTGGTGGTTACACATTCTAGCTCTCAGGAGGCAGAGGCAGAAGCAGGCAGATATCTGTGCGTTTGAGGCCAGCGTGTTCTAGGCCAGCTAGAGCTACAAAGTAAGAACCTGTCTCAAAAAAAAAAAAAGGAAAAAGGATCATTATAGAGATTAAGTTTACTGAAGCTCTACTATTTCACAGCAAGTTCATTCCTAGCAGTCAATAACCAGATCATCCTTTTGTTTATAACCAGTTACAGTAGTAATCTGTAATAACTGCCCAAGACTTGTATTGAAAGCTAGTCCCCCATGCAGTAATGTCCATAAGTGGATCACGAGATCTCTGACCTCACTAATGGGTTAGTTCATTAATGGATTCATAACTGAATGGACTTTTGGGAAGATGGGGTTCATGAGAACAGCTGTGAGCCAATTTTTCATACCTCTTTTATAGGGCAAAACTGCAGGGTGGGGATTTTGCAAGCAAGCACAGTTACAGAAGCAAGACGAGGCAATTAAGGAAATCTTCCTAGAACACTGTTGTTCCTAGAACATTCTGTGGTTATGCTGGGAGGGGGCAGCCCAAGTCTGATAAACACAAACTTAAGTTTTACAGTAGACAGAATTGGTTTCCTGATTACAAAATGGAGTTGGGCTGATTTCCTCATCGATGGGAAACCTAGGAGGTGGGACTTTGTTGGAAGAAAAAGTCAGTCCAGTTAGGTCCTTGGAGGGTTTATGTTATTCCTGGTCCCTTGCTCTCTCTGCTTCCTGGCCACCATAATGTGAGAAGCCACTTCTACTGCACACTGTTATTACCACAATATCCCACATTGCCTCCACACAAAACAACAGACCCAACAGAGCAAGGATCAAAGCCTCAGAAACTGAGCCAAAATAAACCACCCATTTAAGTTGATTTTATCAGCTATTTTGTTACAGTAACAGAAAGGTAACACCCCAGTTCCTTATCTTTCCAGAGATATTTTATTAATACTGCAGCAAATTGTATATATTATATCCATACATATAGATATACTTTCTACATAACCAGTTGTATATGATACATATTATTCACATTTTTGTTTAGAGTACAGTGTTTTGCTGTTATAAAATCCTGATAACCTAGTATATGAAATGGGAACAAACCATTACTAACTTTAGTAAGCCATATAGAGTCATCCAAGGTGTTAAAGCAAAGGAAGAAGGAATTTTTTCTCTCTCTCTCTCTTTTTTTTTGAGACAGGGTCTCACTGCATAGCTCTGGCTGTCCTAGAACTCACTGTACACCAGGGCGGCCTCAAACTCCCAGAGATCCACCTGCCTCTGCCTCCCAAGTACTGGGATTAAAAGTATGCACCACTATGCAGGACTGTACAGAGAAAATTTCAAATAACTTTCTCCATGAGATAGGGTCTCACTATGTAGTTCTGGCTGTCCAGGAACTAACTGTAGACCCGTCTGGCTTCAGACTCACAGAGATCAGCCTACCTCAGCCTCCCAAGTGGTAGTATTCAAGCCTCAAGTCACCACACCCCAATGAATTGCATTCCTTAAACTGTACCTCCAGCAGAGGAAATAAGAGTTCAATACAAACAGAACTGAACTTGAAAGCACTCTGACAAATCAGGGATGAAAATCCCACACTGCGCTTGTGGTCAGTCCACTATTATCCTGCTGAGTTGGCTCTGGAAGAGTGTATTCTTCTAATTTGTGTAGCTGATGCCGAATACTGTGTCCACTGAACTGGGGCCTCCCAGGGTCACCAATCAATACTCGGGTTCTGTAGGTCCAAAAGTAGTTCTCCAGCCACAGATGCAGACTGTCTGCAAGGTCTTCATCATAAAACATATCTCCAAGAACAATGAGATCAAACTTACCTTGTTTGGTACTCAAAATGTTTTTGGTTAAAACAGGAAAAGGATTCAGTCCATTTAATTTGCAATTTAGTGTAATCGCCATTCCTGCAACTTACAAAACATGATAAATCAGTCTACAAGAATTATATCAGTAGGCTATTTTTAATTTCTTATTAAGGTGTTTAAAAACACCTTTTTTCCCACATGAACTCTATATTTCATTTTCTCTTTCAGCCCAAGCTTTCTCAAAACATAAGTATTTATCAACAATGATTAATATGAATTCTACATAAGGAGTTCTTTAACATATAAACAATTTTATTCTCTTTGAGTAAGATGAAAAATTTAACAGACAATATGCCTCTTTCTCTACTCCTCAGAAAATAGTATTTAGAATTTTTTCCAATTTAGTAATTGTTAATGTATTATTAAAAATTCACAAAAACATCCTGTAACTCCATGACATATAAGCCTTGTGTATATAGTCTGTATCATTTGCTATTTAGACCTCTTAACCAAGATCTTAATACTGATGAGGAAGTAATTTGTCACCTTTTTGGGAAAGAGAATGCCTGTCATATCATGCATTTAAACCTTGCATAAATATTTGTCTTCCTAGAAACTGCCATTTTTACAAATTGCAAAAGTCAGTGGGGGATAGTCTGAGTTTCTGTGGTTAAACACCTTTTTTAATCTAATAGAGGCCAGTGAGATGGCTTTGCAGGTTAAGATGCTTGACACTAAATCTAACAGGAGTTCAACACCTGAAGGCCAGGCGTGGTGGCACACAACTTCAATCCAAGCACTCAGGAGACAGTGACAGGCAGATCTCTGTGAATTTGAGGCTAGCCTGGTCTATATAGAGAGTTCTAGGACAGACAGCTAGGACTACACAGAAAGAACCTGTCTCAACAAACCAAACAACAAACAAAGAGTTTAATGCCTAAAACACACATGGTAGGAAGAGGAAACCAGATCGCACAAGCTGTCCCATCTCCCCATGGGATGTGCACTATGGCACACACACACACACACACACAGATGAATAAATAATTGTAAAAAAATAACCTAATTAATACTTATCTCCTTTGTTAAAAGGGATTTTGTTGTTGAATTTAATTTAACTTTATTTGCAATGGTGTTTTATCTGCATTAACGTCTGTGTGAGGGTATCGGATCCCCTGGAACTGTAGTTACAGAAAGTAGTGAGCTGCCACATTGGTGCTGGGAATTGAACCTGGGTCCTCAGGAATAGCAGCCTGTGCTCTTCACCACTAAACCACTTCTCCAGCCCCTGTTGTTTTTTTTTTTTTTTTAGGCAAAGAAGTTCAAAGTTTATGTCAGTACAAACTATATACTGGCTGGGCATGATGATACATACCTGTCGCTCCAAGACTAGATAGTATACAACAGGAAGATTCCTGCAAGTATTAGCCAACCTGGGGTACAAAGAGAAATACCAGGCCATGTAGGTCTACAGCCTAAGACCCTGTCTCAAAAAACAAAACAAAGAGGCTTGGCATGGTGTTGCATGCCTATAATCCCAGCACTTGGGAGATGGAAATAGGAAGAAATCCAAGGTCATCCTTAGCTTCATAGCTAGCTGAGGCCATCCTGGGCTATGTAAAACTCTGTCTCAAAAAAAAAGAAAAAAGAAAAGAAAAGAAAGAAGGAGGGAGGAAGGAAAAAAGGAGGGAAAGGGGGAGAGGGAGGGGAGAAGAGAGGGAAGGAAGAGGAATTGGTCTAGGAGAGAACAGGTTATCCCTACTCCATACCCTTCTCCCAGAACTACACCCTGCTTGACAGAACAGTTTCTCCCTTCTCAGAAACGATGCTTGTAAAATGTTTAACAGACTAGTGTTCCTCCTTCCTTGGTGGGAAATGATCCCTCGTTTAAAGTAAAAACTGCACTAGCATGCACCTGATATGATTTAATTGTGGTCTTTTATCTTTATAAATTCTGTGGTGTTTAATCTAGGGGCTGAGAGTTCACTGTGACAAAAGCCTTCTCTCAATCTCTAGCTTAAATAAAGCACTCTTATTTGGCCTTATAGTCATGGTGGTCTATAACCAAAGAAGGACCTTTTTAAAAAGCTATATTGAATATAGAAGAGCAACAGTGGGATTTTTAGGACCATTTTCTGGGTCTTTTTGTATGTTTGTTTACTGCAGACAGAAAAACAATTGTTGGGCTTGATTAAGTTACAAGTGAAACCTCTTAATAAAATAAGACCCCTGGAGGGCCCTACCCTAAATGAAGGTAGGATCAGAAAAAAAAATCAGATGAACTCTGTAGTCTACTTGACTCAGCCTCCTGGGGTGCTGGAATTAAAGGTATGGGCTGCCTGCCATACCCAATACAACTTGGGTCTTTTTTTTTTTTTTAAGATTTATTTATTTATTATATATACAGTATTCTGCCTGCATGCATGCCTGCAGGCCAGAAGAGGGCACAATATCTCATTACAGATGGTTGTGAGCTACCATGTGGTTGCTGGGAATTGAACTCAGGTCCTCTGGAAGAGCAGTCAGTGCTCTTAACCTCTGAGCCATCTCTCCAGCCCCCACAATTTGGGTCTTAATGCAGTAAAAATATCCACTAAAGACACAAAGTTATCTCTACTTGGACTTTGTGTCATATAAACATTACTGACACATTCCAGGGAATTCTCAACCCAGAAGCTAACATGCATGCCCCAAGTTTGTATCCCTCTGGAATATCTGACAAATAAATCCAATCCTCTTGGGGGAATGCACTGTCAGTTCAGGCCCCAGATAATGTCCCACTGAACACACCTCGAAGTATCAGATTACAAAACAAGGCAATCAGTGATCACAATGTATCCTGAAAGGGGGACAGTGAGCTTTAAATGTTTTAAAATATGCAGTCCTTACTGGGGTCTATGTCATTGGCCAAGATCTTTGATGCACCACTCATCTTAGCAGCAATTGCTGTTGCTCCACATCCGCTCCCAAGATCCAAGACAGACTTTCCTCTAACAACATCAGGGTTATCCAAAAGATACCTAAATTAGAAAGAAAACAGAAAATACCTGAGTATGGGAAAAGACAGTAAGAAAAATAAATAAATAAATAAATAAAAAATAAACCAAAACAAGCAAGATGGTTCAGCAGATAAAGGTGCTTGCTGCCAAGTCTGATGACCCAAGTTCAACATAGTGGAAGGAAAGAATTAATACATAAAAGCTGTCCTCTGACCTTCACATGCACACCATGGCATACCTGTGCTACATACACAAACACACAAAGCAATTAATGGTAATTTTTCCCCCATGGTATAGAACCTACCTGACCTAGACCATCGGTAACATACTACTCCTGGGGAACAGGAATACCTTTTGTTTGACAACTATATACCCTTAAGACATAACCAGATGAACTCATGAACAACACTAGAGCAAAGAGTAGATGGACATGCTAAAAGTACTTACCCTATGCCAGGCAGTGGTGGTGCACACCTTTAACCCCAGCACTCAGGAGGCAGAGGGAGGTAGATTCTTGAGTTCAAGGCCAGCCTGGTCTACAGAGCTAGTCCCAGGGCAGCCAGGGATATACAAAGAAACCCTGTCTTGAAAAACAAAAATCAATAAAAAAGTATTTGCTTTTGTTTTAGCTACTATTTCTTAACAAAAAGAATAGTTGCAGCTATATGAAAAAAACAAGATGGACAGGAAGGAGCTTAAAAATGCATAATCATGGCACTGGAGAAATGGATCAGAGGTTAAGAGCACTGGCTACACTCCCAGATGTCCTGAGTTCAATTCTCAGCAACCACATGGTGGCTCACAACCATCTGTAGTGAGATTGGATGCTCTCTTCTAGTGTGCAAGCATACATGCAGATAGAGCACTCACATAATTAAATAAATAAATAAATCTTAAAAAAAATTTTAAATGCAGATTCAAGTCAAATGCAGGGTCCACCTAAGATGTCCTGGAACTGCCACAAAACAGAAAATCCCAAATGACCACTCATACTTCCTGTGTGCTGAAAAGGCAGTCCTAGGAGAGGGTGGAATTTACAGTATTAGAAGCAAGATCATTGGAGGGTTGGGTCTTTAAGATCCATCTAGGAACTCTGTACTGACTGTTGATTTGCCCATGAACTTGAACACAAAGTAAGACATATGGATCTTTTATGACCATGTAGGTTCTTTAGCAGTTGACATTAGAGTTTCTTGTGGGGTAGAAGCTTTATTTATGGATATTCATTAAAAATCTTGTGTAAGGTGGTGAAACTATGCAATGAAACACCAAAGGTAGGATCAAACTACTATCAAAACAAGACTTTGGGGATAAGGAGTGATGTTACAAAAGTTAGTATGAGGGCTGGAAAGTTGGCTCAGCGGTTAAGAGCACTTGCTGCTCTTGTAGAAGATCCAGGATCAAGTCCTGGAACTCACATGACAGCTCACAGCTGTAACTCCAGTTCCAGAGGATCTGATGACTTCTTCCAGTCTTCACGGGCACCAGGCACATATGAGGTATACAAACATACATTCAGGCAAAACACTCATACACAAAATAGATAAATCCAAAAGAAAGTTTCAAAGAAAAAGTTGCTTAGTGGCACATGCCTTTAATCCCAACACTAGAAGGCAGAGGCAGGTGGATCTCTTAGATCCAGGTCAGCCTGGTCTACAGAGTGAGTTCCAGGACAGACAGAGCTACAATAGGGAGTCCCTGACAAGAAACTTTTAAGGGAGGATGTGTTTACTTTGAAGGAACAATTTGGAGATATAAACTAATCTATCACGGAATGTCTGGCAGTAGGGGGCTGTGGCAGTAGACATATGAGATTGTTTGCTCACATCAGTAAAAATTATGAAGAAAAGAATTCTAGGACTCAGCTAGCTTTCTTCTTTTTTGTCATCCACATTCAAGGTGGGCCTTCCCTCAGTTAAGCTTAACTGGAAATGTCCTATCTTGGCTAGCGTTTGGTTTTTTTGTTTAGTTTTGTTTTTGTAGACTTGACAAATGCCTCCACCAGACTGGCCTGTTAGCAAGCCTATGGGACATTTTCTTGTTTAATGATTTGCTGGAGTCAACTAACACCAGGGTCCAGGTCCCAAAGAGGAGGTATGGAGTCAGTGAGGTAAAGGAGGAGACAGGATCTGAGGGTGAATCTGTTATGGCTGCTACTTTACTGTAGCTGCACAGAAGATTAAATGGGAGGAGGAGGGCATGTGAGCTTGGCTGTGGCTTGCTCACATCAGGGACTAAGGAAGTTAGAATTGGCCTTAACGAGTTAATAGTCACCACAGTCATATGTTAATGAAAGGGCCACAAGTTCCTCTTGCCAGAGATAAAAATGACTCACTTTTTAACAAGAAGGGACTTTCTTCAGGCCCCTGAGGGAATAGGGGCTGTCTTAAGAGTTTTTATTGCTGTGAAGAAACACCATAGCTGTGGGGGACTAAAGTATTTCCGCTATAGAATATTTTGAGATCCAGCCTTTGGTCTCACTAAACATGGAGCACCGAAAGCTCCGGCCCACTATTGTATTGTTAATGCCAGTAGGGCTACTATTGTTTAGCGTGGCCTCAAGGTAATGTGCCTCTTATTTGCATCTCTGTGGGCCTAAGCATCTGAACAGGCCCTCACCTGGATGGAGGGGCTAGAGGTATATGAGTAACTTGTGAGGATGGAAGGTTAAGAGTTAGGGGCGAGTGGCCAGAGCAGAGAGGGGACAAAGAGAGAAATGGTTCCCTCGTGGTATTGGCAGGATGGTTAAGAAACACCAGAAAAGATGGCTAATAAAGAAATGACTCTAGTTCCACAACACGGAACTGAGAGCTCTCTGAAGATGACAAGATGCCTGTGTTTGATCTTTATCGCCATTGGGTTGCTGGGAGCTTCCAGGTTGGGCGCTTCCAGGTCCACACACCCCCACTCAGGCGGAACCTCATGGCTGTCGTGGGTTAAAGCTGAGGCAAGCCGGGTCACGACACATAGCCATGGCAACCCTTATAAGGAAGACATCTAATTGGGGTGGCTTGCTTATAGTTCAGAGGTTCAGTCCATTATCATCATGGTGGGAAGCACAGCAGCATGCAGGCAGACATGGTGGTGGAGAGGTAGTTGAGATTTCCTACATATCACAGGCAACAGGAAGTCAACTGAGCATAGGAAACCTCAAACACCACCCCCCACGGTGACACACTTCCTCCAACAAAGCCACACTCACTCCAACAAAGCCACACCTCCTAATAATGCCACTCCCTATAAGATGGGGGCCAATTACATTCAAACTACCACATTCAAACTACCACATTCTACTCCCTGGCCCCTGTAAGCGTGTAGCCATTATCAGGATGCAAAATGCATTTAGTCCAACTCCAAAAGTCCCCTTGGTCTATCACAGTCTCAACAGTCTCTTCTGAAAATCATGCCATCTCTTATCTGTAATCACCTATAAAAGTCAAAATAAAGCAGATCACATACTGGGATGAAGACCCCAGGCCCTTGCCCAGACCCCTGCCTTGGTCATCCCTAGACATGACAGGCTGCAGAAAATACAAAGCAGGATACAGCAGGATGTGCTGTACACCTGACATTGTACAGTGCCCCCTGACCTTGTCCTCATTGCTAAAAAGAAACCGAAATATCCCATATATGGTAAGGAACCAATTAGGAGCTAACAGACTCTGAATGTGCTTCCCCATAAAAGTGGAATGTAGTAACCACAACAATCACCCAAGAGATAGCAATCTCCCTGCAGCTACAACTAACCAATTAACCACAGTCAGGTGTCCCCAGCTCAGAGGTATACCAATCCTCTTAGTCTGTTCCTAGGCAGTCTATATCCCCTAACCCCCCCTTGCTTTACCCTCAATATATACCCTACCCCACTGCTACTCTGGGTCTCTCCTACTCCACCACTGTGACGGACAGACACGTGACCAGGTGCCAACTCACAATTAAAATTCTTTGCTTTTGGATCAGATTTGGTCTCTAGGTGGTCTTTGGGGTCCAGATCTGGGCATAAGAAGGATATACATTACCATTCTGAAATTAAGGAAGGGCGAATAGTGGGGAAATACCAGACCAAAGCAAGGCCAAAACCCAGCTGGGTAAACTCCAAATTCTGCATTTCCATGTCTGATGACAAATCACTCTTCAGGTCCCCAAATCCTTTCAGCTACTTTTTTTCTCTTGGGCTGGTTCCACTCCTTTAGCAGCTCTCCTCAGCAGATATCCCATGGATGTGGCATCTCCAATATTTTGGTTCTCTAAAACAGTCAGACTTCACCTTCACAGCTTCACACAATGGCCTCTCTAGGCCTCTATTCAGTGACACCTCTGACACATGCCTGGACTCAGAGACTTTCCTTAGTCTCAGGGACAAATTCCATAGCCCCTTTATTCTATCCCTAACTCCAGAAGCTGCCAAGTTCTGCCGCTTACTGGGGCTGGACATGGCCTCTTTGTTAGTTACATCTTCATCAATTTTCTGTCCTTCACTGCCTAAGCTTGGCTGTCCTGAAACTGGATCTCTAGACCAGACCTCAAACTCACGAGATCTGCAGGCCTCAGTCTCCTAAGTACTGAGATTAAAGGTGTGCACCACCACACTTGGCTCTCAGCTTCTCTTTAATGCCTTTGCACAGGTTGGAAGATGAGATGGGCGGGGTCTTGCCCTGAGGTCACTACTCCCTTTATTTTATGTAATATCCCGCTCTTCTCTAATCTGCTGATCTCCCTGAATATAGGATTTAGCTCTATTCCACTTCCTGGTGCCCCTTTTCTCCTTGAACTGTACATTTTGTATTTCTCCTTGCTCAGCTTGCTCCTTTTCATTATAAATCTTCATCAGAGTTAACACTAATAACCATACAACAGACAACTAGGCTGTTTTGAGATTCCCTCTACCAAAAGAATTAATCCAAAACTCTTCACTTTAGCCTCAGGCAGACTCTTCAGACAAGGACAAAAAGCAGCCACATTCTTCACCAAAATATCACACGGACAAATTCTAGGAAACGTACTAAAATGCTTCTAGGAAATATCTTGATCTAGCCATGGACAATTTAAATCATTATCAGCACCATTGTCTTCCATGCTCCATGCTTAAAGCATTCCTAACCCAAACGACCAAAGTCCAAATCCCCACAAACAAACCATGGTCAGGCCTATCACAACAATACTTCAGTCCCTGGTACCAACTTCTGTCTTAGTTAAGGTTTCTATTGCTGTGAAGAGACACCATGACCATGGCAACTCTTATAAAGGATAACATTTAATTGAAGTAGCAGCTTCCAGTTCAGAGATTCAGTCCATCATCATTTGTGGGGAGCATGGTGGTGTGCAGGCAACATGGTGTTGGCTACATCTTAAACAGAAGGCAACAGGAAGTAGACTCTGACACTGAGCAAAGCTTAAGCAAATGAAACCTCAAAGCCGGTCCCCACAGAGACATACCTCCTTCAACAAGGCCATACCCCTCCAACAAAGCCACACCCACTAACAGTGCCACTCCCTATGAGATTATGGGGGCCAATTACATTCCAACTACCACAAGGTCTTTTGTCTAAATGCCTGACCTTGGGAAAAGGACTTTCTTGGGGGACTAGACACTCCATTACAGATTACAGTTTTTTATATAGCTTTTATAGTTACAGAATATTGGATATATAGTTTTATATATCCAAATAGGTAAAGCTTAAAGTAAGCAAAGACAAAGCTAGACAAATATTACTGTGAACCTTAGGAATTTATATATCTTATCAAATATACTTTATTTATCAAGCATATTATCTAAATTTTCTAGCAGCTTAGTATTAACTTGTGTGGGAGTAGGCAGAATTATCACACTATATGGTTCCACAGTGGCAGAGATTTTTTTTCCAAAGAATCATTTTGTTTAAAGAGGCTGTCATTTTATGCATTTTCATCCTTCAAAGCCCATACAAAATTTCCCAAAGGGAAAGGCAGAAGGGAACTCTCATAACACATAGTGAGAATCATTAAAAATGAAAGTGAAAGGGTGCTGGAGAATTGTGATCCACAAAGTCGAAATGCTGGAACTTTGTCAAAGCAGCAATGATCCTTGTGGTTCACACCAATGATTGATGTGGGAGGGCCCAGCTCACTGGGGCAATGCACTGAGCAGGTGATCCCGTATGGTATTAGAAAGCAAGCTGAGCAAGCCATGAAGAGCAAGCCAGTAAGCAGGGATCCTGCATGGCCTCGGCTTCAATTCCTGCCTCCAAGTCTTGAGTTCCTGCCCTGATTTTCCAGATGAATGGGACATGACCTGAAAGTATAAAATGAAATAAACCCTTTCTTCCCCAAGTTGCTTTTGGTTGTGCTTTTTTTTTTTTTTTTATTACAGCAATGGAAACTCTAACAAAAGCATACCCTCATAATCATGCCCAGAGGTGTGTCTTGTAGGTAATTCCAAGTTCAACTGAGTTGACAACAAAGGTTACCCATGACAGGTGTGAAGAGAACAACTTTGTT